CTCCGTGTCAGTACACTTTATCATACAGTTGTGCTGCGAAAAATAGCATAAGCAAAGTGTTTAGCTTTTAAGGTATTTGAAACTATGGGTCTTTCTTACTTAAGAGTTTATGGTATTTAACTTGTCAAGGTAAGATGATTTTTCCTTAATGATTTTGGAAGGAAGTCAAAGCCACGTTCCATCAAATATCAGTTATTTTCAAGATTAATATTACTTTTACCAGTGTGTTTACGACTGAACGAACAGAACTCAGCCATCAGCCAGCGGTTTTTGAACAACATGAATAAAATATGATAACGTAAAGTCTTCGGACTGATTCACAGACTACCSGTTTKGCCTTTCTCTCGCGCWACTTTTATATACCTAACTTCAAAAAAGCCTACTAACAGATTTACTCGGTTTATATCTTGCTCTCCTGGTACTCGATACATTTATACAACCATAAAGTCAATCGAAGTTACTAAAGGCAATTCGTATGTCAAATCAGTGGTTACRAAATTTTCCCACAACGGGTGGTGRAGTGGAACATTCCGAAACCACTCAYACTTCGATGAAATCTTTGATAACACGGACCACTGCGCAGCGGAACCTACTCGATCTATCGAGATATATGTATGTAAATAGGACGGAATCGTTAGAGACGGGGTAAAATGAACTATTTGCAGGGTGGATCGATACTCAAGAGGAAGTTTAAAGTGGAAGTCTTCTGCCGGAAGCTCGCAATTAATTCTTGTTTTAGACTACCAAACCACTGTAGTTTCTTTCAAGCAGAAGTGGTGGCTATTAAGTTAGCAACAGGTATACTTCAACGTAGTGCGGCTTCCTTTAGGGAGGTATGTATCCGCTCCGGTAGCAGAGCTGCTATACAGGCCTTGCACTCGCTGACAGTGAACTCAAAGCTAGTCAAGGAGTTCATAAAATCGCCACCGGTGGCTACTTCCATATAAAATTGTAATTTATACTTAAGCCTTCTGGGCATTACAACGGACAAGAATCTCTAACGGTCTAAGTGGGACTATTCGTGGTCTCACCTGCCTTAAGTTAGGAACTCAGTGGATATACTATAACCACAGATAATGAAAGGTCGCAAAGAGACACAGACTGTGCCTGAATCAAATGGCCCGTAGCGTGCTTCTGATCGGAACACTTTCAAAACTAATCGGGCACTAAGACAGCAGAGGATTCTTTGAGTACTAAACGGACGCCCGATAAACTTTCACGGTCTGTCATTTAAAGGAAGGYAAATTAGAACTACAAAAATTTTATRCCAGTGACCCTAAGAGCATCATTTTAYATACGGYATCAACTAAACAGRTTGGCCATACACTATATGCGAGGATAGAACTCCGAAGTATTTTGAACTTCATTTCACAATTTATTTTATTTTAGTTATAATCAAATGATGACAGACACAAAAGCCAAGCTGAYTTTTATTTAACACACAACTGTACATAGCGAGCTTATTGTCATCGTCATCGAACGACGAACGTCGCCGCCAGCATTGCCAATATCAAGAATTGTCGAACTGGTGACGCCACAAACTGAAGATAGTGTGCAGAAAACAAAATGCCAACGATCACACACAGCGYAAGCGGAACGTGGTGTGAATGTGGGTGGACGCATTGGTGACTCCGTTCTACCAATAATCAATTTCCGTGATTGGATTACATTCGGCTACTTCCGACATGTGGCTTGGCAACGAAAATGTTGCAAACGCAAACCCAAATCCCGCAGTGCTGCGCTGGCAGACGGGAGCTGATGAGAAGGGGGGCTTGTGGATACCAATGACGGTCGCACTAATACACTTACGTACCCACACACATAYATATATAACTRGAGAACCTGTTAGTTTTTGGCCATATTGTTGACTCACTTGGGAGACATACGATGCCATTTCGTGCCATTGACGACATGCCAGTTATGCCTTTGTTTTAACCCGCTGTTGTTGTTACTGCTGCTGTTGTTGTTCCTGTTGTTGGTATGTGTTCCAACTTTCGCATGTCTTTTCGCATCCTRCAGAAACGAAGGAGCGCCAACTACTGATAGACCAGCTGAAAACATGATCATGTTCCTGGCTATGGCARCAATAAAAGTACAAAAACAGAAAGTGATAACAATAACAACAATTTCAACTGCAAAATGTGTTGTTGTTGCTYCTGGCGACGTGTTTTGCCGCTGAGCGTCGGTATAGAATCCCTTACCAACAGCAAAAGGGACAATAAGGAAAAAACTAAAAAAGAACAATTTTTGCAACAAAAACAACAAATACAGCACATATTAAAACAACAAAAACAATAATGCTTACTATAACAAAAACAAAAATCACAATAACACAACGCCAATTCCAACAACAGAGAAGTATGTATGAGGACGCCAACAATAACAAAAATAGCCACCATCACAACAACAAYACCTACAATAACAACAACAAAGAAAAAACTATTACAACAACCAAATATAACAAAACGAAAATTGTTACAACAACAAGTACAACGCCACAGTTGCGCCAAGTATCATTAACACAACAACAACAGCAACACCAACTACGCGTCACTGGCAAAATACTGGCGACGTGAAATGTTACACAATGTAGATTTCAGTGCCAAAGGAGGTCAAAAATCCCACCGACACGCATGACTTAGCAAACGCCACTGTATTGGTCGCCATTCATTGAGCCCCGAAGGCTGTGTGCGTGTTTAGCAGCCATCTTATGCACACTAACACTGGCCAGCGTTGTGAAAATGTGGTTTTATTGGCGTCTACTGCACAGTGTATACATATGAACGTGTGTGTGTGTATTTGGATAATAAGATTATCGGAAACAAATGATGAAAATAGCGTTGATGCGATTTTTGGCATTCGAAATGGCAATCAAGGAAATGCAGCAGCCAAAGTACAAAGGTTTTTTGTCAAAATRCTATAAAAACATGCCATGGCGAATCAAAGCCACCTAAAAACGATGGTGAGACATTAAATTTCATGGCTGTTGTTGGGTGCAAATAGTTATTGCACAGGAGCAATTTAAAAATTGCTTGAGATTAGGCAAGAAAGCGGAAGCTTTCTTTTAAAACACCTAAAATTTCTAACAAAACAAAAATTATTACGTTAACGTGTTTAGGAGTACTATTTTCGGTTAACATTTTTAGACTTTTTATTCGGTTTAAGAATATTAGAAATTGTGTCAGAACACTTTTTTATTAATTAATTAATACTGTTAT